AAAGAAAAATATTCTACAACTTTACTGATCTTCTGTCTTACATATTACTAAAAGAGGAGTGCTTAAAATTTACTATAGATTTCTTTTTCCTCTCAAATTTTGCATCATATGCTTTGAAGCTCTGTACACTTTGTGAAGCTGACTGATTCCTTTACCTTTATCATATATGCTTCTGTATTTCTGGTAATATCCCAGAGGCAGACAGGGGGTCTATTTTGTCTGTTACTAACATAGCCACTTTAGCTTTCTTGTGACTGGAGTGTGTATAACTTTCCATTCTTCTATTCTTTAACCTATTTATGTTTCTACAGTTAAAGTGTTTTCTATGTAGACAATATAAGGTCATAACCCATTCTGATAGTCTCTGACTTTTACGTGCAGTGTTTAGTCTATTTACATATCATTGTTGACATACCTGTGTCAGGTCTACTAATTTGCCATCTTGTTCCACTTGTGTCATCTCTTTTTTCTTTTCCAGCTTTCTTCTCAATTGAGTAATTTTTATATTTTTATTCTAGCAACACTATTAGCTTTTAGCCTGGTGTTTGTCTTTTTTTTTTTAGTGGTTGCTCTAGAGTTTACAACATGAATTAACACAGCATGTAAAGGACACTCTTATTACTTCATATAAAATATGTGAAGTTCACAATAGTCCACTTTTTCTCATCTTCCTGTCCTTTGTGCTACCCTTATTAATTTTATTTCTAGATGTGTACATTGTGATTTTTGTTCTAAATAGTCAACTATCTGTGAAAGCAATTAAAAAGCAAGAAAAGTAATTTCTATTTATCAACACATTTGTCCTTCTCTCCACTCCTCAGTGTGGACTGAGTTTCAGTTGGAATCCTTGCTTTTAACTAAAGAATTTCACTTTAGCTTTCTTGTAATGCAGGTCTGACGGTGATAAATCCTCTTAACTTAACCTGTCTGAAAATGTCTGTATTTCCTCTTCCATTTTCACCTTATTCTAAAAGGACATTTGTGACAAACACAGAATTCTAGGCTGATGGTTTTATTCTTCTAATGTTTTGAAAATGTCCCTTACAGGCTGCATCGTTCTTGGCCTTTGATTTATAGGTGATAATTTCCTTTATTTTTTTCTAGCTCATTTTGAGACTTTTCTCTTCACCTGTTCATCATGGGCCCTTGAGATAAACTGTCTGTGTTTCTGTACATCTAGTCTGCCTAATGCAGTGGTTCTCAACCTTCCTAATGCCACGAAGTATTTTCATTGTTACAAAGGGGTTGCAACCCACAGGTTGAGAATCGCTGGCCTAATGTCTCACCAGTTGTTCCTGGAGACTAGTTCTACCGGTAGTCCCTGAGTTACAAACATGAGACTTACATACTGGGGCTATCATAGTAAGCCTGAGTTACAAACATTAAGACTGATACAAGACTTGCACCTACGAACAGGGGCTACTATAAGTAACTGGTAAAAAGTACGTGTTATAATTTAACAAAGTCAACTTAAGAACAAACCTACAGAACCGATCTAGTTTGTAAGCTGGAGGCTTGCTATGTGTCTTGATGCAGTGTTCTTTATATCTGTTTTGCTTGGTATTTGTTGAGCTTCTTAGATTTGTGCATTTACAATCTTCACCAACTTTGGCCAGTTTCCAGGTCTTATTTTTTTTCATACTTTTTTTGTTCCTCCCTTTTTTCTGTATCAATACAAATTATCTGTATATTAGACTGCCTAGAGCGTACCAGAGTCCACTTAAGGTTTATTCAATTTCTTGTTCTTTTCTCATCTATTCCTTTTCTGTGATTTAGTTTGCTTATTTTCAGACAGGGTCTCACTGGCACCCAGGCTGGAACATGGTAGTACAATCATAGCTCACTGTAACATCCAACTTCTGGGCTCTAGTGATTCTCCTGCCTTGGTCTCCCATATAGCTAGGACTATCGGCATGAGCTACTGCACCCAGCTAATTTTTTTCTACTTTTTGTAGAGACCAGGCCTCACTGTGTTACTCAGGCTGGTCTGAAACTCCTGGCCTCAAGTGATCCTCCTGCATCAGCTTACAAAGTGTGTGGAACACAGACTTGAGACACTAGGCCTAGTCTCTGTGCTTCACGTTAGACAACTGCCGCTGTTTTTTCCATCTGCACTGTACAATCTGCTATTAGGCTTATCCTAAAAATGTTTTCACTTCAGATGTTGTACTTTAATCTTTAGAAGTTCAACTTGACTCTTTTCTTGTATTTTCCATTTATCTCATTATATACATGTTTTCCTTTAAGTACAGGAGCACATTAAATAGTTAAAGGTTCTTGTTTGCCAATTCTATCATCTCTGGATCTGTTTCTATTGCCTGATACTTTTCCTGATCATGTACCTTTTTTTGCTTCTCTGATACCACATAATCAGTTCTTAGATATTGTGTATATTACACTGTAAATGTTTGGATTTTGATGCCTTTCTTTAATGACTCATCACTCTGCCCTAGCAAATAGTTAACTTATTTGCAGATGAACTTGATCCTTTCAAGGCTTGTTTATCAGCTCTGTCTAGAAAGATTCACAACAACCTTTATACACATACCTAGGTGAGCCGAACTAGGCAAGAATTTTCTGGAACTTCTACTGAGCACCTGGGTATTCAGTAAGATTTCTCCTTTTTCGATTGCTGGAACACAAACACCTCCTGACCACATGTGCTCTCATACCCTGTGCAGTCTCCCGTCTAGCTCTTAGTCTCCTGGTGGTATTTCATCACCAATCTCCATGGAATCTTACCCTTCCCATGTTTGTTCAGCCAAAGTTTCAATAGGATCTCCAGTGATATTTCTAGAGTTCTTTCTTTCTTCTTTTTTTTTTTTTGAGACAGAGTAGACTCACTTTATCACCCCAAGTAGAGTGCTATGGCAGCCTAGCTCACAACCTCAAATACTTGGGCTCAAGTGATCCTCCTTCCTCAGCCTCCCAAGTAGCCAGGACTACAGGCACCTGCCACAATGCCTGGCTAGTTTAGGAGACAAGGTCTTGCTCTTGCTAAGGCTGGTCTTGAACTTCTGAGCTCAAAGGATCCTGCAGCCTCAGCCTCCCAGAATGCTAGGATTGTAAGTATGACCCACTGCACCAGGGTAATTTCTTTAATTTCTTTCTCTTTTATGGAACCCTGCCCCACTATCTCCCAGTCATGTCAGCATCCTTAACTGTGATCTGTCCTCTCAACCCTGAGAGACTGCTGTACTCCTGATTTACTTTCCCATATAGCAGGGCAGGAAAATGGTAGAAAGCTGGAGTGACTTTACATAATTTGCTCACTTAAGGATCAAAATCCTACACTGCCTGTTATCCAATGTCTTGAAGGAGTAGTTTATATATTTTATACAATCTTCTAAGTATTCAGGTTAGGAGGGCTTATCTTAGTTTGTTTTGTGTTGCTGTAACAGAATATCGCAGACTAATATAAAAGTGACAGAAATGTATTTCTTTTTTTTTTTTAAGACAGGAGCCTCAAGCTGTCACCCTGGGTAGAGTGCCGTGGCATCACTGCTCATAGCAACCTCCATCTCCTGGGCTCAAGAGAGTCTCCTGCCTCAGCCTCCCAAGTAGCTGGGACCACATGGGCCCACCACAACACCCAGTTACTTTTTGGTTGCAGCCGTCACTGTTGTTTGGTGGGCCTGGGCTGGATTTGAACCCACCACCTTAGGTGTATGTGGCTGACGCCCTAGCCTCTTGAGCCACAGGCACCGAGCCAGAAATGTATTTCTTATAGTTCTGGAGGCTAGGAAGTCTGCCACTAAAATTTTAGTAGTTTTTTTTTTTTTCTTGAGATACGAGTCTCACTCTGTGGCCTTCCACAGAGTGGCATGGCATCATCGTTCACAGCAACCTCAAACTCTTGGGCTCAAGTAATCCTCTTACCTCAGCTTCCCAAGTAGCTAGGATTACAGGTATCCACCACAACGCCTGGCCAGTTTTTCTATTTTTAGCAGAGATAGGGTCTCATTCTTGCTCAGGCTGATCTTCAACTCCTGAGCTCAAGCAATCCTCCTCCCTCAGCCTCCCAGAGTGCTAAAATTATAGGCGTGAGCCACCACACCTAGCCAAGAGTTGGTAATTTTTAAAATGAGAATTAAGCAAATACAATTCTAATTAGCTATGACTATATTAGTTAGCTAATATGTAACAATTACTGCAAAACTTACGAGGCCTGTAACATCCATAAACGGTATCTTATACACTTTTTAGGTGAGGAATTTGGGAATGTCTAAAAGCAGGTGGTTCTGGCTTAGGGCTTACCATAATGTTACAGAGAGTATGAAAGCTAGAATGGTAGTCATCCATCAGAAGGGTGACTGGGCTAGAGGGTATCCCTGAGACCGATCACTGACATACCTACTGGCAGGCACACCTCCTTGCCTGGTAGACTTTCCCACAAGGCTCCTGGAGCATCTTCTCAAGATAGCAGGTGGCTTTCTCTAGAGTGACTAATTCCAGACTAGGTAAGGTGGGAGCCACAATGTCTTTTATGCTCTAGTCTTGGAGGCGTCACATCTTAATTTCTGCAATGTGCTGTTGATTATACATTAAATTCTATTCACTATGGGAGGACCCTAGAAAGGGCTGTGAATACTAGGAGTCAAGGATCACTAGAGGCCATTTTGGAGGCTAGCCACCACAGAAAGAGCAAAACCTTTCTCTACGTTTAAATAAGGAAGTAACAGAAAAACTGCAATTTTACTTGACATACAGTAGAACTTCTGTAAGTTGACCACCCAAGGTCAACAAACTGGTCAACATAAGGAATTGCCATTGAGTACATTTGGTGCCTGTCTGGTCTATGAAAGCTAGGTCAACCTAAGGAGGAGGTCAATGTGGGAAGGAGGTTAATGATGGCGGTTCTATCATATTTTCAAATTCCCAAGTTATTTGATTCTGTCAATAAAAATCTTTTCCTCTTATTTTATGCTACTATTATGCTCCACAGGTTGGAAGGGGAGATAAGTGATTACTAAGTTTGAGACTATAAATTAATTTCTTACCAACCACCATTAGTGTGAACTCAAAACCTTTTTTCACTGATTTTCGGTGAACTTGATTGGGAAGATTTGCAAATCCAACATAGCCAGGAGTTTCTGGATTTATAAACTGAGTTGGTTGTTGCTAAAACAAGATTAAGGAAAAAAAAAACAACACAAAACCTTAGTAGTTGCTTTTAAGATAATCAGTTAGACACGTTGCAAAAACTATTAGTCATTCTCACATATAAAAAATTATATAAATCAACACTTCCAAAAAGTCTTACTTCTATCAGAAAACTGATAGTATAGGTGTAAAAAGGATATACATAAAATGGCAACAATGGTTATTTCTGCTAGAAGAATGACAAATTTTTATTTTCTTTTTTGTTTACCTGTATTCCATACTAATTCTTGTACATAAAACAAAACTTAGTATGATTTTATACTGGATAGTAATGTACACCCATAAACCCAAAAATAAAAGGCAAAGAGAAACAATCATCTTGCAGTTTTGACCATAAATTCTGCAGTATATGTTCTTTAGAACTCATTTACCTGGCTCGGCACCTATAGCTCAATCGGCTAAGGCGCCAGCCATGTACACCTAAGGTGGCGGGTTCGAATCCCCAGCCCGGACCCGCCAAACAACAATGACGGCTGCAACCAAAAAATAGCTGGGCATTGTGGCGGGCACCTGTGGTCCCAGCTACTTGGGAGGCGGAGGCAGGAGACTCGCTTGAGCCCAGGAGTTGGAGGTTGCTGTGAGCTGTAATGCCACGGCACTCTACCCAGGGAGACAGCTTGAGGCTCTGTTCAAAAAAAAAAAAAAAAAAAAAAAGAACTAATTTACCTCAGGACGCTGGGCTAACTTGCAAGGGTTGTTCCAAACCAATTTATCAAGTCTAAGAGCCCCATCAATTTTATAATAATAATTTATCACCATTGTAACCTTTTATTTCATCTGCTGGGAAAGATCTAAGGACAATAAATGTCTACTAGTGATATATTTAGAAAAAAGAAAACAGAAGCCTAAAAAATGAGAAAGCACAAAGCTTTGAGAATGACAATTAGTCCTCTTTGTCTTAATGAGTCAAATATACTAGTTGTATTAAAAAGTAATGAATCATATAAATTTTGACAGAAAACAGTCTGAAAACTTACGTAAAACAGTTTCTCTTTATACTCTAAACCAATGTTTTTCAACCTTTTTTATCACATGGCGCCCTTGATGCTGTAGTTAAACTTCTGGAGCACACTTAAAACTTAAATTATGTTTATCAAAAAATAAAAAGTAAAGAATATACTTATTGTGCCTTGAACGTCTTTTGAAAATAATTTAATTAATGATTTCTAAAAATTTTCATGGCATACCAGTTGAAAATCACTGCTCGGAATACATGATAAAGTATAGTCTTACCTTGGACATCTTTGGTGAAGTTTTCTGTACCTGTGAAGACAAAAACCATACGCACATATTTAACATCATGAACTGACCTATAAAAAGACTTACATAGGGCCAGGAGCAGTGGTTCATGTCTGTAATCCAGCACTCTGGGAGGCAAAGGTGACTGGATTGCCTGCACTCAGGAGTTTAAGACCAGCCTGAGCCAGAGCAAGACCCTGTCTCTGAAAATAACTGGGTTTTGTGGCTGGTGCCTATAGTCCCAGATACTTGGGAGGCTGAGGCAAGAGAATCACTTAAGCCCAAGAGTTTGAAGTTGCTGTGATGCCATGGCACTCTGCCAAGGCTGACAAAGTGAGCCTCTGTTTCAAAAAAAAAGGAAAAAAAAACAACAACTCTGGCCTAATATGGAGTATAATCTGTGTATATTTTCATTTTTCTTGGGTAAATACCTAGGAGTGGAATTGCTGGTCAACTGTTAGGAAGGTGTATTTAAAAATTAGCCATGTGTGGCTAATTAGCCCAGCACTTTGGAGCTATAGATGCCAGGGCACTCTA